TCTAGGGTTGCGGTGCTCATCTCCGTTTCAAAGCCGAAGAGCCAGCACTGTCCGAAGACGTTTCCGTGGTCATGTGGCCGGCATGACTAAACACCAAGGCACACGGAACGCTGTTACCTTCCCACCGAAGCGCTACCTATTTATCTACTTGCAATTTCTTGCTTTCGAACTGCTAGGTTGGCAGCAGATGGAACCAGAGACGGGAGCTCACTCCGTCATGCGGCACCCGGGTCTTGAACTGCTGAACTACTGACCTTCTGTCCTACAGTTCAGCGTCTTAACCACTTGAGCCACCGCAGCTCCTTAACTCTGTATTACCATCTTTTAAAAAACTAACCCAGTTGCCTCTACCAGTCTTTGACTCATCTGTGGGATACTGGGGGAAAGATTAGAAGAGCCCTGCTGGATCCAGACATCTAGCTCCACACTGCTTTCTTTCCGCCAACCCGACTGTCCATAGAACACCTGTGAAAAGGGTAGAGAGCCACAGGACGTGGGGCCTGAAAGCTCCCCATGTTCCTATCTCCCCCAAACATTGAGATGTAGAACCATGGAGATGATGGAGCTGAGGTGTGTTCCGCCAGGGCTTCGACTGAGGCCAGAGATGGTTCATTATATCTGCCTGGCCCCCCCCCCCCCCAAATGACTGAATGCTAGTACCGCCATCTTGTTTTTTAAACGTTTTAAAAAATTTAAATGTTCTGAATGTTTTAAATACTGCGTTTTTATGGTTTTAACTTATTTTACGCTGAACCAAATTGCTGTGGACCACCCTGAGCCCCATCCAAGCCTCCCTGGGGAGGCTGTTCCATAATCATGGGGCCACCACTGAAAAGACCTTCTCGCATGGACCCGACAAACGCGCTCCTTTGATTGATGGGACAGTCCAGAGGCCCTCTCACTGTGATCTTCCCGGGCAGGAACACACGGCCGAAGACCTCTGAGAATCAAAGCCCCCTTTGCCAGATGTGAGTAGGAACGGAACTTCGACTGTTGAAAGCTTATACCCCTGAAAAATTATGTTGTTTCCATGTGTTACTGGACTGCGGACCAACCCTCCGAAAATTTCTTCAGTTGAAGAAGAAGAGAGAAGAGAAGAGATTGGATTCATACCCCGCCCTTCACTACTTGAAGGAGTCTCAGAGCGGCTCACAAACTCCTTTCCCTTCCCCTCCCCACAACAGACGGGTCTCAGAGCGGCTTACAAACTCCTTTCCCTTCCCCTCCCCACCACAGACACCCTGTGAGGTAAAAGAAGAAGAAGAAGAGATTGGATTTATACCCCGCCCTTCAATACCCAAAGGTGTCTCAGAGCGGCTTACAAACTCCTTTCCCTTCCCCTCCCCACCACAGACACCCTGTGAGGTAAAAGAAAAAGAAGAAGAGATTGGATTTATACCCCGCCCTTCAATACCCGAAGGTGTCTCAGAGCGGCTTACAAACTCCTTTCCCTTCCCCTCCCCACAACAGACACCCAGTGAGGTAAAAGAAGAAGAAGAAGAGATTGGATTTATACCCCGCCCTTCAATACCCGAAGGAATCTCAGAGCGGCTTACAAACTCCTTTCCCTTCCCCTCCCCACAACAGACACCCTGTGAGGTAAAAGAAGAAGAAGAAGAGATTGGATTTATACCCTGCCCTTCAATACCCGAAGGTGTCTCAGAGCGGCTTACAAACTCCTTTCCCTTCCCCTCCCCACAACAGACACCCTGTG